TAATCCAAGGTCTACCACCTTGGTCTTCTATAAAAAGGGCTTAAGTCCCAGAAAACGAGGTAACATTGATTTTGGCTATCAAGCTCTTACTTTGTCCAATATATTAATCACTCCATCCTTAAGCTAATTTAAATGTCGAAGAGCCTTCGGCCGGTATCACACAAATACCCAAGATCTTATCGTTGCTCTTTGTCTTGTAGATTACTTACATCTGCCGAATGGCCCACAAGACCAAAGGCATCCTTACTCCTAAGTTGGGTCCAATAGTGGTCATCCATTTTTGGGCATCAACAATACTCTAACAACACTAACAGTTGAGCTAACAAAACTAGGCTTAGATTGTGCCACTTGTCACAATTTGATACGTCTGATATATGACTCTAACATCCCCCCGCAATCTCAGGAGTGGAGCAGCCAAGCATGAGATTGTGACAATGTCTGAGAAAGAGAAAGGAGCTGAAAAGCCTTTGGTACGAATGTCTACAAATTGTTCATTGGAGGACACTAACTGTAGAATAATATTTTTTCCGATAACACGCTCTGTTGATGCTCTTTTTCGGAGAGGGTCAACTTAGAGAAAAAGGGATTTGCCTTCAGCAGGGAAAGGGTCTGGGCCTTCAATAAGGGCTAGCCTGCAGAAGACAAAAATAGGGGAAGCAGTCGTCAAGCTCCGGGCACCGGTGTGGTGCCGGCCGAAAGCTATCCGATGCTTAAGTCAGCTAAGAAGGGTAACTTTTGCAGAGTAATAGTAAAAGGCAGAAAAGTAGTTACCCCTCTTATTAGGGTACTGTTCCCTTCTTATAGGGAAGTGAAAGTGGGAGGTTGGTGTAGATTTCCGATGTGGGACTCTGTGCAAGTCGCCGCGGTGGTGACACGTGTCATGAGAATTAGGTTTAACAGTTTGTGAGCTTTGGCAGTCGGGAGTTTCGGCAGGTGCTTGGCACCTCGGAAGAGTGTCTTCCTTCGGAGAGAAGGCGTGTCTGCCTTGGTGCTAGTTGTTTTGAGACTGGATATGCTCGGTTGATTATGGTGTAAACACGCTCCATGGTAAAATGAATGTCAATTTGTTCCATTGATTGACTAACTTTTTATTTGAACTAGGGGGAGAAACATTCAATTTATGGAGTAATTTTTTGGTATGACCATTATATGACCACAATGTGGGACGGAAATACCCATAGAGCAATAGATCTAGTTGGTAATCTGGTTTTGATTGGTTAGGTCAATTCTCAATCTCCACTCGTGAATACTATATGGTGCTCGATAAAATTGGTTGGTGTATTCAATTAAGATTTTAATAGATTTTAAAGTAGTTAGAACTTTATGGAATTTATACAGTTTGATAGATTTTAATAGTGGATTTTAATAGATTTTAAAGTAGTTAGTACCAATTGAATTTCATAAGAATTTTGATGAAATTTGTTGGAATCTTATCATATAGTTTGATAGACTGTTTTTATTCCATTTTTATAATTATTATAAACTTCTATAAATTCAAAAATTATAGTGGTAGGTCATCATGTTTGATGTTGTTGATGGTAGTACAGATGGTGTGGTGGGAATGGTAGATTCATTAATGGTGGTGGGGAGAATGGTGGAAATGACCATGTCAAGTGGTGGTGGTGGTGGCAGTAGGAGATGGCGGTGGTGACGACGGTGGCGCTAACAGTGACAGTGACAGTGGCGGTGGTGATATGGGGATGGTAGTGTTGTTGGGGTGTGGGTGGTGGTAGTGGCTTTGGGGTGGCAGTGTTGAAGGTGATTGGGGTGGTGACGGTGGGGGTGGTTGTGATGGTGGTGGTGGTGGGTGAGGTGGAGGCAGTGGTGGGTAATGGTGGGGTGGAGGTGGTGGCGCTGGGGTGTTGGTGTGTTTGGGTGGAGGCGACGATTGTGGTGGCCGTCGTGGTCATGGTGAGGATGGCAAAGGTGGGAGTGGCAGTGACGATGATGGTAGAGGCAATAGTGGTAATAGTGGCAGTGATGGTGGCAGTGGGGGTGAAGGCAAGAGTGGTATTGGTTGTGGTGGTGGATGTTGTGAAGGTGGTGACGGTTAGGGTGGTGGTAATGGTGAGAGTGGTAGCGGTGGTGGCTGTGGTGGTAGTGTAGGTGGTGGCACTAGGGGTGGCTGAGGCGATGGTTGTGGTTGTGGTTGTGGTAGAGGTGACGACGGTGGGAGTTGCAATGGTGATGATAGTGGTGGCTGTGGATGTGGCGGTGTAGATGGTGACAGTGGATGTGGCAATGGTGATGGTTGTGGTGCCAGGGGGTCGCAGTGACAATGTTGGTGATAGCCATGACAAAATAGGTTGGTGGGGGGGGGGGGCATCGGGGAGGGGGTTAAGGGTGGTGCGGG